GCAGCGGTCGGAAGGAGTGCTGGGCGCTCCCAGTAAACGCTGCCCACGCTGTGCAGTTGCTATTTACTGTAACGTAGCGTGCAGGAGGGTTGTGTTTGAAACTATTAAAGTGCCTGGTTTCCTGTCTTCCGACAGTGGACAGACGCGTCCTGTAACCGGTGCTTACCAGGGCAGCTAACAGTTGAGGACCAGTTGGGAAACAAGTTGCTTAAGCAAATAGAGGCCCCAAATCCTAAAGGATTTGTACGTGCTGGAAAAGGCAGGATCAAGGAAGATGACACTGCAATCAACCTGGTGGCAGCATCTCAACCTACAATGCTCCCGAGTGCATATGCTCACGTTTGTGATGTTACTTGTTTTGCAGGGTTGTAAGCCAGGTGGGCGTATATGTTCCGTGCGCTCAAGAAGGCTGGGTGAGGGAGGTGCCATTCAGTCTCCACTTTGCAACTGTCTTCTCTGTACATATATTTCAAAATAAGAACGACTTTAATGCTCTACTAGCATGCCGTAAATGTTCCAGTTTCATCCAGAAGCAAGTATTTGTGAGATAAATTATGCATAGCTCCAGTACCAGCAATAGAGTAAATCCAGCCATTCTTTTAAGATGTAAAAGCAGAACACAGCCATTGAGGGACGTTTTTTTAAAGCAAAAATAAAAGAGGATGTAACAAATAACTGCACGGGGAGGTTCCAAAGTACAGCTGAACTGTTGGTGCAGTCCAAAGCAAGCAGAGAAAAGAGCTGTGACTTCTGACCCTGCAGAGCTACCCCGACAAGTAGTATCACTTCATTCGCAAAGTTTCCAAAGAAAGTTACAAAATGATGACGTTACATAAATATTTATATAGCACATCCGTTATAATTCACCTCATCACTGCTGATTTTCCTGCAGATTGAAAGTGCTATTCCTATTTAAATAAAATCCTCCCTCGAACTTGAGTTAAAAAAAGAGCAGATTTGTTAAGCTACAGTTCCACACCCTAGCTCATACCCTCTGACTTCTTGAGTGCTGAGGGGAGAAAAGCAGCGTTACACAAGGTCAGCGTGCTTTTTTCTAGCAGTTTTGTGATGGTGGATGACTTCACATCCTAGACCCACCACTTCATCCCCCTGCCAAACTGGTTTTCGAGTGACCGGGTTCTCAGCCTGTGTGGGCTGAAGCTGCCCCCCGGTCCCATCACCCGCTCTCCTCTTTTGCCACCACCGGTTTCGTGAGGCTTGTGCTTCTGTAGACGGGCTCTGCCCGCTCCCGACTGCCTCCCGTGATGAAGGGACTGGCTGGTTACAGGGACAGAGGGATGTGAATTGCTTTGATTTTCATTAAGCTCTTGACACCTGCAGCTCCTGTGTGCTTTGGCCACCTCAGCCGTTCCTCACTTACGGCTAGCAGCAGATCAAGTCAAATGTGCCTGCGGCTGGGATGTGAGACGGATGTCAACCAAGAGCAGGGCCCTCGGGGAGATCTTGGCCTCTGTAGATCAGCTGCTCAGACTTTTTCCTTCCTGCTTTGCCATTCTCCCTGCTTTTACAGCCACCACCACACCTGGTGAGAGGCTGGCCACAATAAAAGAATGCGCTGAATCTTCCAGGGAGGGAAGTGGACTCTGTCCCCTCCCGGCCACCACCAGCAGGGTGGCTCTGCGGGTCTTGGGGGAAGCTGCTGAGAGATGGTGCAATCCTGCTATCGCTACGTGTGCCCACACACACCTCACGCCTCCTCACCTTCCTGATAGGACCAGCGTCAGTGTCGATACTTGTGCACGTGCTCGCCCCTTGCGCAGCGTGACACACACGTGTCTCATAACTGAGCAGTTACGATTCGGTCAAGGGATGGAGGGGAAGTCAGCCATAGGGCAGGGGGGCAGCTCGTGGAGGCCTGGGGAGAGACAGAGAGGAAGCGGGGCACCCTCCGGCCAGTCCTGCCCAGGGGGGCACAAACAGGGTGGCACCTGCAGCACCTTTCGGCTTTAGCATCCCCAGCGGGACAGTCCTGGGTGCCGTGGGAGCACAAGGAGAACAGGGCACGGGATGGGGCTGGGATCACATGCTTCACCTAAACGGCGTCTTCCGTTGCCAGGTACAGCCCTGCCTGGTCCTGTACTGTTTATGGACCTGCTGTCCACAAATGAGACTCATTCTGTTTTGAACCTTCTGACGCTCTGCCTCCGTGGCCCCTATGCCAGAAAGGCCCAGAAGTTTCCTGCACGCAGCATAAAGAAGTACTTTTTCCTGCCTACCTGGACCCAGCCTCTTACCTGTTTTATGAGTGTCTCAAGTCCTAGTATCAAGGGATTTGGTGAACAACAGCTCCACGCCAGTCAAATCCCTCCCTTCAGTCTTCTGCTCTCCCAGCTGAGGAGTTCCAGCCATTTAGCCTCTAGTCCTTGCAGGTACCATTTCACTTGCCTTTCCCCATGCTTCGTCTCAGCTGTTTGCCGCTGGGCTCCTCTGGGGACATCAGTGAGAAGGCTGCAAGCTGACCTCAAGGGGGGTTGCCGTCTCTGTGCTGCTGCTCCTTGCGCTGATGCCTTTCCCTAGGGCATGTGTCCTGGGCGGGGGGGAACAGGGCAGGGGATTGGGCCATACCTGTCCCCTGTGTGGGCACAGCAAGGCATAGCATCATTTTTTGGAAAACCACAGCCCAAATGAGTTCAGGAGCAGCTACGCACACTCGTTCTGATCTTCTGCCTGGTGCAGTCTCTGGACCATGCTGGAAGGGGAGCACTGGGGGGGTGTCCCCCCCCCATTCCTTGCCCTCCAGGGTGATGGGGTGATGCCAAAGACTCTCTGTTTCACAGCCTGCAGCTCCCCCACCTCCCTGGACTTGCACAACGGGACATTTCAAGAGTCTGGGGTTTGCTGGCTACGTGTTCAGGTTGTTCTTCTTGTGGTACTTTTCATCTTCATAAACCAACTCTCAGAACAGTTCCCTCCCCACCATCATTTAGTTGTTTAAACCTGCAACGCTGTTACCTAATGCAGGAAGCCACCAGTCACCCAGTCTGCCTGAAGGAAACTCTGCACAACCGCAGAATTTCAAAAATACAGCCCCAAAAAATAAGTTATCATTTCCTGAATGCTCCCGAGAACGGCTGCTGTTCACTGGGGAAAAGCCGTCCGCCTTTGGCGAGAAGGAGGGAAGGAAAACTACACCTCCCAGCAGCCTGCCGGGCGCCCGTGGAAGGGCAGAGTTCACTGTCACGTTGACAGCGGAGGATCGAGGGTGGACAGGCTGTCCTGCCACCAGCAGAGCCAAAGGGCCTCTGGGAAGGGCAAGCGGAGGGGCCAGAGCTGGCCTCCTCTTGCTGCCCCTCTGCTTCACTTCACCGGCCCGACCAGCTCCGAACTCCAAGCCTAGGTAAGCGTCCGACTCCGCGAACCACTTTGTTCCTCTGACTTCCTTCTTCTGCCAGAGCGTCACCAGCGGGAACAGCGCAGGGAGGGGAGGGACGAGAGCCGGGCGGCAGAGAGCAGCAATTATACACCCCCACCCCCCTGCCTCCAAATCTTGTATTTAGCAAGAAAACTCAGCTCTAGAGACAGCGCGGGTGGGGAAAGGTGCCCCACTACTCTGGAAGAGCTGCTGTGAAGGCTGAGCTTGAGATTTTTGTATGGAAATCCGCACCAGCCGCTCTCCAGCAGGGAGTTTTCCATACCGCCTAGTTTTCCGCATGCAGGCGTTGTGCTCATAAGAGCCATCAACTTCCTCAGGTTACAGCAGCGAGCCTAGCTCTGTCCTATGCGGCTGTCCAGTCCCAAAGTGCTTTAGCAGAGAGGGAAGTATCGCTGGGGGGGTGTAAGAGAGTCAGGCTGTGGCTCCAGGTTCACAACACCCGGCCAGGGCCCCTCAGATGGGCACGAGGCCAGGTGAGGGTCACGCTGCTGCACAGGGGCCAGGCGGTGTTTCTGCCAGCGGCTGCGCCTTCCAGCACCGCCATCTCCCAGTCTGACACACTGGAGGCAGGAAGGTAAGGTGGAGCAGGCTCATTGCTCTCTCGGAGCACAGCCAAGTCCATCCAAGTCTGTCCAGATGAGAAATGGGTACCTCACCCCACCAGTTTGTCCAGAGACAACTGTGGTTTGCGTTAGCCCTTGAATTGCTTATAGCCTGCCGGGAAGCAAAATCGCTAATGGCCCTTGGGCTGGATAACCCTTGATGGTTATCGGTGACATCACTCCATTTTCACACCACCTTAGTAAGCACGGAGGGAGGAGCCTCCTTCTCCACCATGAATCACTGCTCCTGCATTTGCACTTATCAGGTTTACAGCTGCTTTGTCGCAACTCCTGAAACCAAGACTGGATGGTGTCTGTGAGGGGGCTTGGTCAGCCACTTGAACAGCGGGGAGATATGTCTCCTTACGACCGAAGGAGAAAGTGAAACAACGGTGCAGAAGCCAGAGCTCCAGGGGCAAAAGAAAATGGAAGAGAATCCAAGCGTGGATCTGTCTGGAGGTAAGTGAATCCTACGCTTACTCCACCTACTAGGAAAATCCCTTTGCAAGAAGGTTTCAACAGTGACATGGGAAACCTAAGCAAAATAAAATTTAAAAAAAAAAGAATCACCTCTTTTCTAGGCCAAGAAAAACAAGTTGCTATCTTTTTCTGAAGAGTGAAAGAGTAACAAGTTACTTTCAGTTTTGGATTCCCATCTGCAACAGGCTTAAACTCTGTGTCTAGGATGGCAGCACAGGGAAGTCTAAAAATGGAGTCCCAGGGTGGGAGAGCTTTCTTCCCTGCATCCCAGTGCTTCCCATCTACAGATGCTTAAAAAATAAGCCAGTTTTCCACCACCTATGGATGGGAAACCTCTGGAGGAGACAGGGCAAGAAGTACTGTTTGTGCCCAGCTTGAATACCAGGATACTTCCAGGTTCCTCATATTCCAGTTTCTACTGTGTACTTGCATTCTCTGGGTGCCTTGCTATGACTACTGCATGTGAGTATTTCAGTGATACCATGATACTATAACCTGATCTGATCTGAAGCTCTGATCTGTCCTAGGCAGTCAGAAGTGTTCCCATAATACTCAGCAACAAGGAATGTAAAAATCATGCTCCAAAGGACAGCATGTTCTGTCACGTGACAAGTACAGCTTTTTCTCTGCTTTCAAATCAGTAGGGAGTTCCTTGCCATTTTTATCAGTGTCTTTATTTTAATTTTAGTGTAATCATTTCCATGTTGTAGTAGTGCTTGATCATTCATAAGCAGTTTTTCACAAATAGCGCCTGAAATTTGAGCTGCACTGTTTCGTTTTGTAAGATTCAGAATATGCTGCAAAACTCTCACGTTCAGCCTCAGGATTTCTCTATTGAATTATGCTCCAGTGTTTGCTTTTAATTATATGTTGCCATAGCTCTTTGGGAGAGCAGCTCCAGAACAGGAGCAGAGAAGGAGCACAAGCAGAACTAGCATTTACATTCAGACAGATGCTTGAAGTGCCATTGGCATAGCTGTTCTGGCCAGTACTCAACAACAGCCTTAGAAATTCTTCAAATCTACCACCTTAATTTGCCAACCTAGGAAAAGCCACTATCTGTGGAAGATGTGGTAACATAACCTACTGCTTAATGAAAGAATTGCCTGCCCACCCCACATAGGACAGCATGGGACATAGGCTGGGATTGAGTTAACTTTCCCCGTAGCAGCCTGTACAGTGCTGTGTTTTGGATTTGTGGTCTAAAAAAAAAAACCCTGTTGATAACACAGCAATGTTTTAGCTATTGCTGAACAGTGCTGGCACAGCATCAAGGCTTACTCTTTTCCCCCCCTCTCTCCCCCACATATTTGCTCCCAAGCAAATAATCTGGAGTGGGCAAAAGATTGGGCAGGGACCCAAGGTGGGCAAAGGGATATTGCGTACAGTATAACATCACACTCAGCAACAAAAGCTGGAGTGTGGGAAGAAAGGGAGAGGGGGTTGGCTTCCAAGGTGGCCTTGGCTTGCAGACTGGCCTGGCATCAGTCCACTTGTAGGAGGTGGTGAGCGACTGCATTTGCGTCAGTTGTGATTGCCTCCCTCCCTTTCTCTCACCTATTCAGCTGTCTTGACTCATGAGTTTTCTCACTTTTGGTCACCCTATTCTCTCCCCCATCTCGCTGGGGGTAGATGTTTCTGAAATGCAAGAACTAGGCGTTTTACAGGGTGGTGGTAAAGCACTGGGTATTCTTGATTCCTGTATAGTGAGCTGAGCTTGTGAACTCTGATTCCAACAGCTGGGCCAGCCCAAGATGAGGTGGAGAGCACAGCTCTGCACCAAGAGCCCACTCAAGAAATACTTGAGCACCAAGTGACAAGCAGGTGGCCTGAGACCTCCTGCAAACCAGAGGAGGACTCTTTGGTGTGTACATCACCAACTGCTGATGGAGAAGAGACAACACTGTCAGATTCAGCTGACCCCACAGTGGAGAAGGTTCCCCAGGAAACTGAAGTATCACTGGAAGAATCTGGGAACACAAGAGATGGTGTCTCAGAAGGATCCCATGAAGAAGACGACTTGGATGAAGGTGAGTCTTCCCCTTCTGTGTGTACAGCATTTCCAAAATGCTGATAACCCGGGGCCTTTGCTTAGAGGAGGCGGAGCAGGAGAAAGGGTTCTTGGTTCTTGTGCTGAAAGAGACTAAGTGTAGATCTGCAAATTTTGTTCCCTACAGCCAGGCTTGCCCATGATAAAACTGACAGGAAAGGAGAGAGCCCTGTCCACCAGGAAACACAGGAGGACCAGGAGACAAGCAAGCAATGTGGAAGCTCCTACACAGCAGAGGAAGATGCTTCACCAAGAAGCAAGTCACCAAGCTCTGACAGCAAAATGGCACATTTGGATGTGACTGCCACAGAAGACGTCTCCACGGGCCTCTTGGCAGAGAAGAGCACCAGTGCCCCTCTCCTAGATCGGGAGCCAGAAGAGCACATAGAGCAAGCAACACAGGAGAGCGCATCCCAAGGCACACTAAGGAACAGACATGGGACCAAAGGTGAGCTGGTGGCTGCACACTGCTGCTCTTCCACAATGCACGTGCCTACACTTCCCATAGGCATTAGAAAATGGTCTGGTGAGCTCTCTAGTGCCCGTTGTCAGTTTTCTGGAGTTGAGCAGGAAAGGTGTAATAAATTAGTTGGCTTCTCTCTTTCTCTCTCCTTTGGCCACTGTCGTGCTTTGGAAGGCATGAAACCACACTGCACTCTGCATCATTATTCTCCTTCCCCTGCCCCAAAAGCAGGGGGAGCCAGGACTGAAAGCAGCATTGACCCAAAGCAGTGTTTCCTTCTAACTCTTCCCCTCAGCTGGGAGCTCCTGGCAGCTCTGTTGCTTTTCTTATTACAGCCCAGCTTACCTGTTCCCTCACCACTGAGTGGCACATTTCTTTCCCTTACTGTAGGGCACACAGCCCCAAAGCCAGAGGCTCAGTCCTGCCTACAGAACATCACCACCGAAAACACAGACCAGGAGAAGGCCAAAGAGTCCCTCTTGCTGAAAGGTGAGGAAAAGAAGCTTCCCTTGTGCGTTACTCATCGACCAGAAGGCGCTGATCCTCCAGGAACAAGTAATGAAGCACAGTTAATTTTTCTTCTGTCTCAGAACCTTTCACAACCTTTTCTGAGGGTTTGAGGGAAAACCAATCCCCTTGAAAATAGGCTCAGTTTGAGCCTATGGTAGCAGCTTTACCTCCAGCTCTCCAGCCTCAAAAGTAGGTGCATTGTGTTCAGCATGATGGGAGTACCCTGGCATGTCCTGGGAGGTTTGAGGCTCCTCTGCTGACGGAGGTAGCTGCTCCACATAGCCAAAAACCTTAAAGAAAACAGAATGCAGGGAAGAGAAGAAAGCTTGTGACCAGACGCAATTTCCTCAGCTGTAGCCTTGCCTCCATCTCTGGAGCCGTAGCCCGCCCCAGCTGATGTGTAGGAACATGGGTTGCACAACATGGTGCAAGCAGCCTCTTCACCATGCATGGGTACCCAGAGGCGTGCCAACCCTCGGGTAGTAGGGAAGTGGGGAGGGTCTGGGAGGGGAAAAAGAGCCCTTGTAGCTACTTTCCAGCATATCACTGCAGGTCACTTGGGACTGACTTCTGTTCCCCATCTCTGGTCTCTCCCCTGTTGAACAGGGCTTGTCATCATGAGCCTTGTATTGCTCGGTTTCTGCATATTCTGCTTCGGCAACCCGACCTCCAAGGCCCAGCAAGCCCCCAAGAACCCCACAGTGGAGGCCTTTCTGTCCCAGTTCAACCAGCTGCAGGACAGGTTTCCGGGGCAGAGTCCCCACCTGTGGCTTCGTGGGCGCAAGTTCCTGCAGAAGCACCTCAATGCATCCCACCACACTCAGCCGGCCATCATAATCTTCACGTCCGCCCGCAAGGGTGAGCGCACCTTGCAATGCCTTAGTGCCCGTGTGGCCGACACCTACTCAGCCGCCCTGCATGCCAGCATGGTCCAGGTCAATGGCATGGATAAATCTAGGCTCCAGAGTGACCAGGCCAAGCTGGAGGTGGACTCAGAGTTGAGCTCAGCTTTCCAGGCTGGGGCCCGTGCTGCGGTGATACACCGCTTCGAGTTGCTGCCGGCAGGGGCCACCCTCATCTTCTACAAATACTGTGACCACGAAAGTGCTGCTTTTAAGGACGTGGCCCTGCTGCTGACTGTGCTGCTGGAGGAGGAGATGCTGGAGACCCACATCAGCCTCCAGCAGGTGGAAGAGAGAGTCCGCGACTTCCTCTGGGCCAAGTTCACCAACACCAGGACCCCCAGCTCCTACGACCACATGGACTCCGACAAGCTGAGTGGGCTATGGAGCCGCATTTCCCACCTGGTCCTACCGATCTACCCCGTGCAGACCATTGAGAAGGGAGGCTGCCATGTCCACACCAAACCCTAGGGGCAAAGGCTGCCAGAGCCCCAGGAAGGGTTGGAAAGATGGTCCTGGCTGACTCCAGTGCAGGTGGAGGCACAACTAGTGCTATTTCTCTTCTATTTGTCTGCTGTACATTCCTGGGAAGAGTTGAACAGCTACAAGTTCATCCAGGCCATTTAGCCAGCTGAGTCCTGGAGGCAATAGATCATGCGCTTCCTTCTGGCAGGTGGGAAGAGCTGATATTTTAGACTGCTGATTGCACAGGAGACCATTGGTGTGTGGGGAGGCAGGAGGGAAAACAGGACTTTGCAGATAGCGTTTCTATTAGGAAATACACAAATAACGTACACAACTGTTATGCCAGAGAGATACTTAAGTGGAGTAGCTCTTTCATTTCTCCCTGCCCCTCAGTTTGCTAATGTCGTGTACATCAGTCTCACAATGTACTTTATCTACAACATTTCTCTCTCTTTACAGAGAGCCGCTGAAACACAGGAAGGGTGAATTCCCCAAAGCCCAACCTTTTGAAGGCATGCTTCAAAAAGAAAACCAGTTTGCTAATCAAGGGTTTGACCAGTCAGAATGACACTCAGCAAAGACCAGATTCTAAATATAGGATGTTCAAACAAATCTGCAATTCAGAAATCCCCTAAACATCAATTACAAGAAATTTCATGTTGTCAGCACTTAAACATTGCACTTCAGGGGAGTGCACTTTAGGGGGTGGATTCCATGAGATGATCCCATATGCCCAAGAATAACCTCTGAAGACAGAGAGCAATGAAACAGAAAGCACCTTACTGTCACTCTGATAGTGTGAAGCCTCAAGGGATTGCACAGGTGAAAGAATGAGTTCAACTTAATGCTACCTCTTTAAAAAAAAGGTCTGTTCTTGATCCCTTTGCCACCACAAGGCTATGACTATCTCTTTGGGCTGATGCACCAGCTTTGGTCCTACACATGAGATTGCTTTTCACCTGGATCTCTGATCTGTGTGTAGGGCAGGAAGCCTTCTGCCTGCCTCTCCCCAGCTAACTTTTATTGAAGAATGTAGATGTTAACATTGATATTTATTTCAAACCGTGGAGGGTAGCACACCAGGTCCTTGCTTTCCAAAGGTACATTTGCCTCCTGGACAGGCAGCTGGTGCTCTGGCATATGCTAAAACAACTAGGAGCAGAGCTGGGATTAGCTGGTAAAGACAAAAATCTCTGGCATGAACACTAAAAATCCTCAATGAAGCAGGGTGGTTTCTCACTGTGCCTCCTCCTTCTGCATCCCAGGAAGAGAAATCCGAGTCCTGGAAACACTGCATTTCTGCAGACACTCTGGGGCAGAGCAGCCAATTTGGGGAACACCTGGGGAGTAGGTGCAGGTTGCAGCATCTATAATAACTCAACAGTCACCCCCAGGTGTCAGCCCCTTCTGCCTACAGCACTGCCTGCCAGAGAAGGAGCAGCTGTAGTGGAGCACAGCTTATTTCCGTATAAGCAGCGCAGACTGGGGCCTCGCAGAGCCAGGCTCTGTATCTGACCAAGACACAAATTGAGAACACTACAGTGTTTTTACAAGCAGCCCATCTGAGTGCTCCTTACAGCAGCTGGACCCTGGTGGCAGCCAGGTCTCCTGCCAACAGTGCCTTGCTGATCTGCCTCACCGACAGCTCAGCTGAGGCACAGCCCTGCACCCTAAAACCACAGCCTGCCTCTTCTTGCCTCCTGCCATGTGCCTTGACCCATCTCTGGAGTTTTGTGGCCATTAACTTGAAGGAGGGGACAAAACGAAGGAAGAGGAAGGGGTTATTTGTTCATGTTCTAACCAAAGAACAGACTTTTTGGTTGGTTGGGGACATGAAGACAAGACCACGGGTGTTTTAACCGTGACAAACACTGGGCTAGATGTGAGAATTACCTGCTGGAGCCCAGCATCAGCAGGGCAGCCCAGGGCATGGTTTCGTACAAGATCCCCTCCCTCCTTTTTATTGCTATACACTACTTTGGTAACAGAAAACACCGTTTCTGCTCTGCGCGGTTCAGTATGGGCGTTGCTGTAAGAACTGGCAGAGCATTAATCATGTCAATATCTTGCGGGAAATTTGTATTTTAACCTTATCTCACTCTCGGTTTTATGTACTGTGTTTGTAACGCATAGCCAAGGTATGCAAAGGCAACTTCATGCTACTTGGGCGCATCGCTGGAAGTGTTGCCCACCCGAGCTGTTCTAATACAAAGGTATTTTTATGACCCTTTAAAAACAAAATATCTGCTTGCTTCTGAAACAAGACTTCTATTTAAAAATAAATAATGAGATTGTGAAAGATATCATCAAAGTCTTCAAAGTGAGACTGGAGCCTTACTGTACTCTGGGGTTTTTTCTAGTTATTTTCAGTTCATTAAGCAAAAGAGACCATCGTATTGGACAAAGTTTTATTTAGGTCAGGGCTGTAGTTGTGCAAACAAAGTGAATATTTACTTTTTCCGGAAAAACTCCAAATAACCTTTTTCTCAGTTGTTTGGGGCAAACATTTGCAGCTTTTTTTAACTAAAGCAAAACTAAAAACAAACACCCAAACAGCTGCTGAATTCAACCCAGGCTGAAACATACTGACGTTTGCATAATATTTAATAATTAAACTGAAATCCACTGGCAACTGAAATATTTTAGAAATACAGAAAGCAAAAATTTCTCATTTCAACACCCTTGATCAGATCAGCTCTACCCAATGTCACACCACCTCAGCACACACAAATTTTTTTTTTTGTGGTGAACTATTTTGCCCAGCTCTGGCCTAAGCAGAGATAGGGCTGAAAAATAAAGAGGATTTACCCTGTTATTCTGGATTTTCTTTAGCCCCTGTCCAGGCCCTGGTAACCTAAATACTCATAACATTGGTGTCTATTTTCAAATAGATGTTCATGTGATTGATTTTCAGAAGTAAACATCGCTCATCTCCTGTCAGCTGTTGTGAGAGGACAAGATTTGGTCCTAGCCCAAAGATTCAGGTGAAAATCTGGTGTCACCAGGTGCAGTGATTGCTGGATGCCAAAACCAGGCTGCTTTTTTAGTCAGCCAGCGGGGCTGGCTCTGGGGTCACTTTTTGGGTGGGTGGGGTGGTGGTGGGACCCCCAGCAAGGTCCTCCAGCTGGTTTCTCCCAGCCAGGGATTCAGGTTCCCTTCTTCTTCCCAGACTGTGAGTTAATTCAGAAACGCTGCGCTCCGGCATGTGCTTCCCCAGGGCAGAGTGCTGGCGTGGGTGCAGCACATGCAGAGGGAGACCCTCGGGTGACGCAGAGGACGTGGGGCACAGTCAAGAGCAGATGCACTTGTGGCAGCTCTGGAGGAACTAAAGCTCCCCCTTCCCACCAGCTCTCCGATGGCTGCGACAGGTCAGCACAAGGCCAGGACAGACGAAGCAGGACATGGTCCTGCTCTGCAGCATCTGAGGTAAATGAATTTATTATTCCTCCTGGGTACCACATCCACCTGCGCTAAGGGCAGCTCTCCGCTTCAACTGTCCCCCGTGCACCTCGTTCATAATCTCTCTGGGAGCGTCTCTTCCTGCACATACACACATTGCCCAAGCATGGCAAGGCCATAGGTTTGGCTGGAGCTTATCAGTTGCCTGCTGTTATGTCAATGCTAAAAATAATTCTTTTCAATTCCTCATCTACAAAAAAATAAATTATTCTTATTCTACTTGGTCTATTAAACAACACACTCCCCTCCTCAACTATCTATCTTTTTTTTTTTTTTTCCCCCCCAGTCCCGCTCTCTGCAGCAGTAGTTCTACAGGGAAGGATGTGCTGCCACAGGGTGCTTGAAGACCCTAAAAATTACCTTGAATATTACATAGCATCTCATCTGAGGGGCAAAACCAGTTCTGGAAGGCCAGTCTGGACTGCCCTGCCACAAAATTAGCACTGATTATACATGTGAGTGTGCCACTGTGTTGTGAACTGACATAAACTTGTCATGCCTAGCGTTTAAAGGCAAGTGGCCCAGCTGGCACTCCACAGGCTTAGCAAACCGCCCTGCTCTGCCCACACCATCCCTGTCCCTGTGACAGGCACACCGTGCAACAACTCTTTTTAACCCTTCGCACCAGGCACGGACTAAAGCTGGAAGAAGGCAGGATGCAAAGAGGCAGGTAGTGAACCCAGCTGAGCCATGTTTCTCCTGTTGAGCTTTAGCCTCTGGGAGCTCATCCACAGGTTAACCCTCCTGCAGCTCCGTGCATTGGCAGGCTCTGCTGCTGCCCCCTCCCTCGGGGGGTCACTTTTAGGCCTACAAAACCTGCCATTGTAAGAGAGATTTGCAGATATTGGGAGCTTCAGACTTTTTTTTTTTAATTTCCCCCCTTTGCCTCTCCAGGGGAAGCAGCTGCACAATGGAATTGCACAAAGGAGCTTGGCCTCAGCCTGTGGGATGCCAATCCAAGAGCCTGCAATGAAAAGGCTCAAAGAATACAGCTTGCAAGTGTGTTCCCAGCCCAGGGAGGGGGCAAAGCCATAAGCAGACCTCCCGCTGGCCTCTCCCTGCTTTGGCCAGGCTGCATGATTATGCTCAGTCCGAGGAGAGGGCTCTGCAGGTCCCTTGTGAGGGCACTCAAGAGCTGAGGATCTTCTCAGAGCCAGAGCAGAGGCAGCAGTGTGGTTCAATGCGAGGGAAGGAAACAGCCTCCCCACACCATACCTCCTTCGAGGTCTGCCCCATCCTCTGCACCAGAAGCCCAGGGACCACTTAGACATCTCCAGGAAGCAGTTTCAGGTCATGGAGATCTCCATGGAGGAGCAGACCTGGCCTCTTCCCACAATTACAGCTTGAGTTGAATGAAGCCACTGTTTTCTCGGTGCTAATGGAGCTGAACTCTTGGAGCTGCTCAGAATGACCAGCCATTTCCCTGGTCAGAGCTTGTGTCTGCAGAGTGGAGCCTTGGACCCCAGAGGTTCCTCCTCACAGGGAGAGCAAAGTCCAGTTGTTTTGGCTCCTGGGGAGCATCTATGCTGGGGCAAGCACCAGGTAAAGCCAACTGAGTTACTGGGACAGTTCATCCAGAGGGATGGACTAAAAACCCAGTGCTACATCCTGTAAGACTGCTGTCAAAGACAGGCTCCCTCCAGCAGCTTGGTCAATGGGAGGAAAACGCACATACAGAGAGAAATAAAGAGGTGTCCAAAGGCCTTCACACTCCAGGACAGTCTCCCACATGCATTTTTCTAAACTCTCAGCCTCTATAATTATGATCTCAGGACTTTCCCCATGGGAAGACGGCTGCCATCTGTCACATCTGCAAGTGAGTTGTGAGCAGGATAAATCCCTTCAGGTCCTGTTAGAGGATGGTCTACTCCACTCCTGCAGGACCTGCTGCGACAGCAGCCACAACACCCATCCTCCTCACCAGAGGCAAGGGCCTTTGCCCTCCTGACTGTGCGTGTTTGGAAGCTTTTCAGAGAAACAGTTGGCTGATGAAACTCAATTCAATGTGACAAGAGGTTGAAATCCTAGGCAACTTCCAGAGGGCGGGGGATGAGCACAAATCATTCCCCTTAAGCAGCCCGTGCCTCTGAATGTGGCTGTACCTACAACGAAACACATTGGCTGGCCCCAGCTCAATCCTGGTTATGGAGAGACTGTTAGGATGAAACCATGGTCTTGGGTGCTAATAAAGAAGAGATCCTCAACCTTTGTGAATCTCTTAGACATTCCCTGGTTGTAATAGAGACCTACTTTCTGTCAACAGAGCACATGAAACTGGGAAGCAGCTGGGGAAAAGCCCCTTGTAATGGTAGGGCTGAATGCAAAACCGCAAAGGGCTGCTGCACATGCAGAACTCAGCCTGCTGACTGACGCACGTAATGCAGCCCACAACAGGACCGATTGGCCCAGTTAGAAGGTGGCAACTTTATGGTCTAAAGAAAGACAGTAGGAAAAAAAAGTACAAATTGGGAGAGGCGGATTACAAATGATTAGAAGACTGGAGGCAGGTTATGGTGGCTGGTGATTGTTTTATTAGCAAGCTTTTATATCTTCAATGGCACTATCAAACCCTTCCATACACTGGTTACCCTGGGGGAGGGGGGTCTCAAGACTTAACGTTAAAAATCCTATACCCTTGCTCCCACATTGAATTAAGAGTATTCAAAATCTTCTCTGAACATCAAGAAAATGACCACGCTGCTTAAACTCAGGCTTTAAAATGGCAAGCAGCATTTTAACATTGCTTTGCTGCCTTCCGTGCCGCACTTGCACCACCCCTGTGACCAAAAGAGGCTCAGGAGTTGTGCTTCTGGGATGAAAGCAGGACTAGCAAGAAAGGTCAAGGAGAGAGGGGCCACGGAGGGGCCCTGGAGGGCAGAGCATCGCAGGCCACCTGGATTTGCCCCGTCACGCTCCTTTAGCACATCACACACAGATTCCCCCCCTCCCCAAATCTTCTCTGCACTGAGTGGCACTCAATGGCTTGCTTTCTGCCTCCCAGGGCTCCTGCCTCAGGCGCTGTTTTTTTTTGGGGGGGGGGGGGGGGGGGGGGGGCTGAAGAAGATTGGGCACACTGAAACTCGTGTGAGACCTGCACTGCTGCTGACTCCCCGGTTCAGCTGGAGCCAGCCCCCCTTTTTCTTCTTATGCACAGCCTCTCCCCCACCTCTGTGCCTCTCTGCAGCTCTGCTTATCTGCAGGGCAGAAGCTGGCTCCAGAGGAACATTACACAGGGCTGCAGCAGGGCAGGAAAGCCAAGAATTTACTCTGAAGCTCTTTTTCCCCTCTGCCTTTGTAGAAGATTGCTCATGGCGCAATCCTTGTCAGCGCTCCTCACCCTCATTTTCTCTGGATGGGTCAGAAGCAGATCACCCCCTCCTCCCCTTGCCCCCTGCCTGCTAGCAAGCGGCTTTGATCAGGAGTCCCCAGTCGCTCCCCCCTGCTGACATCCCTCCCTCATTCCTCTCCCCTCCCTCCACCTTGAGGCTGAAACCTTTGGTGGGGGGAAGGCAGAGGACTCGGATCACCTTCCCACACTAATGACAGGACATCTGGCAGGCAGAAACCACTGCTCCCCAGATGCCCGCCCCAGGCTGGGGACACCTGGTGCCATTTTTGCCCAGCCTCTGTCCATGGCTCACAGCAGTCGGCCCCCGGCAGGGCCGAGGCGTGCCGGCACAGCGACCCCCAGCATCTTGCCAAGAGCTGCTTTGGGATCACAAGCACAGCATGGGGGG